ACATAGAAAGGAATTTGTTCAGAAAATAAGCAGTCAGTGAAAAGGAATAAACTTTTTTCAGGGAGGAGGTTACTATGTATTGGTGCAGGGATGCACTGAGATGAACTGAAGTTATGATGCAATGTAAACTGCTCGGAGGAGTTAGTAAGAGTATGTGATTTGTACAACTAATTACTGAAAGGAAAGCGTAATCCCTATTATATTTGTAGTTCATGTAAAATTATGCTATGACCAATTGTAGAGGATGCCCAGAGTCAGACGACCTCTGAGCAAGATGATCTGCAGCTGAGGGGTGGACCTTGGGGCCATTCGTCCACAGATGCTCCTCGTGGAAGAAGAGCCCGAGCCTTCAGCACATAGTCATTTGTTAATTACTCCCCTCACCTGTGTTGTAGGTCTCAAAAAAGGCTGGTGGGGAGGTTGCTCTGGGGTACCCTGCAAAGAAGGGCTAGCCCACCTCCCACAAGCTTGTACGTCCTACGGTGATCGAGACCAGGGCCACAGGGGCCCGAGGGGTTGCGACAACCAATAAAATATAGAAAAGAGATTTGCTTTAAAATGCATATGAGAGAGTGTGTGGGAGATAAGCTTGGTACAACACACATTCCCATCTGCACACGTCCCACCACCAAATGACATTCTGCAGAAGCTCAGGAGTAAGAAGACGGGATTTTGATAGACACCAGGTGTGGCAGAAGAATGAAGGAGGAGCTACCACTAAGGCTTGGGCTGGGATTCACAGAGGGAGCAGCTTTCCTCTTTAAAGTCTAGACTCTCTACAGTAGAAATTCTTAATCAAGGTAATTGCTAATACCTAATCTATCTAGTAATTTTTTTTTTAGAGACAGAGTCTCCTTACCACCCTCAATAGAGTGCTGTGGCATCAGAGCTCACAGCAACCTCCAACTCCTGGGCTTAGGCGATTCTCTTGCCTCAGCCTCCCGAGTAGCTGGGACTACAGGTGCCCACCACAATACCCAGCTATTTTTTTGTTGCAGTTGGTGGGTTCAAACCTGCCACCCTTGGTATATGGAGCCAGTGCCCTGCCCACTAAGCCATAGGTGCCACCAATCTATCTAGTAATTAAAGATGAGTAGCAAACGAGCCCATTTTCAGACCTAGAATTTCTCTGGAAACACAGCCAACCAATCTTCAGTCTTTTGTCACAATGTATTGTCACATGTCACACATTGTCACAATGTATACAAGATGTCTTTCTCTGAACTTGGGTAAAGCCAGCAGCAGACCACATTATGTCCTGGTCTCTTTCCCTCATAAGACTGTTTCAGAGTTAAGGGGAGCAATCAAGACAGTAAGCTAAAGGTTGGGGGATTAATATTCTGCGTCTTCGGTATCTTCAGGCAACAAAACCAGAGAGGAGATACAGTATTTCTGTTTTTATATTCCAAAAGTACACTGTAACTCATTCCACTCTACTGTATTCATTGGTCCTTCTCTTTCTTGTCATATCTATCTCATCTCAGGCAAACCTAACTTCTGTTACCCCATATAGTGTTGGTCTGAGATTCACCACGTTGATTTCACTCCAGCTTTGGCTGCGCTGAAGTCAGCCACTTTATGCAGAATTGAATATAGGTGCCTTATCTAAAGGCTGAGAGCTCAGGGCCAGTGAAAAGAGAGGCCCTCTTCCATTAGCTGGGGAAGACTGGACTTTCTCTCAAATGGCTCAGGTAAATACTTCTGAATCCAGGCCTGCAGGCAGCTGTCACAGCCATAGGTTCTTCTCTGCTTATGCTCAATGGCCAACAAAGAAACAAAAACAAATATGTCTAGGATACCCCGTGGGCCTCAAAACTAGCACTTGATGACTTCCGAGGTCTGACTTTGCTTGCTCAGAATCCTAAGGCTGTGCCTTCTACCTTCATGTTCATCCCAACAAGTTAAGCAGCATGCATGTTGCCATTTTCCTACGTCATTGTATAAGAGAAAGCACACAGAGACAATTGAAATCTTTTGCCTTGAAGGCAAAACCTTTTGGCTTCCAATTCTAATAAAGCAAATAGGATGAGCAAGAAAACATCTGGCCAGGCTTGGTGGCTCACGCCTGTAATATAAGCGCTCTGGGAGGCTGAGGCAGGTGGATTGCCTGATCTCAGGAGCTCAAGACCAGCCTGAGCAAGAGTGAAATCTGTCTCTATTAAAAATAGAAAAACTGGGCGGCACCTGTGGCTCAAGGGAGTAGGGCACTGGCCCCAGCCAAAAACTGCAAAAAAAAAAAAAAAGAAAAAGAAAAACTGAGATAAGAGGATCTCGTCAACCCAAGAGTTTGAGGTTGTCATGAGCTATGATGATGCCACAGCACAGAGAGGCATCACACACACAATCTTCCACAGCTACATGCCAAGTGTTGCAACAGAGGAAGACAGGTTTGAATCTTTTGTCTAAATCTAGACCAGTGGTTCTCAACCTGTGGGTCGTGACCCCTTTGGGGGTCAAACGACCCTTTCCCCTTTCACAGGGTCACCTAAGACCATCGGAAAACACATATTTCCAATAGTCTTAGGAACCCAGACACTGCTCCTCAGATGTGGGGGTCACCACAACATGAGGAACTGTATTAAAGGGTTGCGGCATTAGGAAGATTAAAAACCACTGATCTAGACTGTTCTGGTTCTTAAGATGAGAAAGTAAGTACAGGAGAGCCAGTCCTACATTCCAAACCCTCAACTTCAGAATAACCAACACCCAGTGCCCCTATGTTATGGGGGGGGGGGTTGTTTTGTTTGTTTTTGAGAGTAGATGAGACTATAGGTATCTACCACGATGCACAGCTAGTTTTTCTGGTTTTGGTAGAGATGGGGTGTTGCTCTTGCTCAGGCTGCTCTCAAACTCCTGACCTCAAGCAATCCACCCACCTTGGCCTCTCAGAGTGCTAGGATTACAGACAGGAGCTGGCCTATGTTATGGGTTTTGAAATTGGAATAGGTTTTTAATGCTGAAGGATAAAGTTTAAATGCATGTATGAGAAAGGAACCTTGAGTCCACCCATGCTCATACCCACATTATTTGCAATAGCCAAAAAAAGGAAGTAACCCATGTGTCCATCAGTGGATGAATAGACAGATAAAATGTGATATATACATACAATGGAATGTTATTCAATCTTAAAAAAGGAAGGACATTCTTACACATGGATGAACCTTGAGGATATTATACTAAGTGAAAAAAGCCAGTCATGCACAAGCACAAAAACCAAACACACAAATACTGTATGATTCCACTTATATGAGGTACTTAAAGTAATCAAATTCATACAACAGAAAGTAAAATGGTGGTTGTCAGGGGCTGGGAAGAAACAGGAGTTACTGTTTATTGGGCATCAAATTTCAGTTCGGGAAGATGAAAAGCTCTGGAGGTAAATGGTGGTGATGGTGGCTGACAATGTGAATATACTTAATGCCACTGAATTTTATACTTAACAAGAATGAAGATGGCAAATTTTATATTAGGTATGTTTTACCACAATTTTTAATAAATAAATAAATATAAAACTTTTAAATAAGATATATAGTTTTTAAATAAAGATAAGGAGATGAAACTAAAGTCCCCACGTAATCCAGGAGCCACGGCAGGCTGCTGTTGCAGTAAAGCAAGTAGCAAGTACTGCAGGAAGGGAAGTAGCAAAGAATCCTGCTGTCAGCCTAGGGCATGAATCCAATGTGTCCAGGGAAATCTGAACACAGGCCTGGGCCACTCACGGACAGAAGGTCTGAATTCACACTAGTGGCAAGTAAGCATATGAAAAGATGTGCCACATTATGTGTCATTAGGAAATTGCAAATTAAAACAAGAGTAAGAAGAAATAATTACATACCTATTAGAATGGCTGAAATTCAAAAGATCTGCAACAACATCAAATGCTGGCAAGATCGTGGAGCAATAGGAATTCCACATCCATGGAGGGAATGCAAATGGCACGGCCACTGTGGAGGAGAGTTGGGCAGTTTCTTACAAAACTAAATATACCCTAACCATAGGATTTGAGAACCATGGTCCATGGTATTCACCCAAAGGAACTGAAAATTTATGTTCACACAAAACTCTGCACCTGAATGTTAATAACAACTTTCTCCATAGTTGCCAATACGCGGAAGCAACCACGCTATCCTTCAGTAGGTAAATAAACTGTGCCCCCCTCAAACTATTGACTTTTTTGGTTTGTTGTTTTTTTATGATTCTATATGCATTGTAACAAGGCAATTGATTTTTTTAGCACTAAAAGAAATAAGCTATCAAACCATGAAAAGAAATGGAGAAGAGTTAAATACATGTTACTTAGAGAAAGAAAACCATCTGAAAAGGCTGCCTACAGCATGATTCCAGCCATATGACATTCTGGGAAAAGTAAAATTCAGGAGACAGTAAATAAAAATGTCAGTGGTTGCCAGGAAGTGTAGGGAGGGAGGACGGAATAAGCAGAGCCCAGAAGATTTTCAGGGCAGTGAAACTATTCTGCCGGGTTTCAGAATTGTCCAATTGTGGATATATGTCATTACACACTCATCAAAACCCTAAAATGTCCAACACCAAGAATGAATCCTCATGTAAACTCTGCACTTTGGGTGATAATGATGTCTCAGGGTAGGCTCAGTGATTGTAACAAACATAACATTGGTACGGGAAGTCCATAACAGGTGAGTCCATACATGAGCAGGGAGGGGAGGTATATGGGAACTCTCTGTACTTTCTGCTATGTGAACCAAACCTAAATTAATTAATTACTAATTAATTTTTTGAAAACTACCAGAAAGAAAAAAAAAGATACCTATAAGAGAATTACATTAGAAAAATAATAGACTTCTCATCAAAACAATAGATTTCAGAAGAGAATGGTTTGATATCTTTAAAGGACTGTGGAAAACAATGGTAAGGTTATAACATTTATATATACCCTTAAAAATGAAGTCAAAATAAACACTTCTCCAGACATGTAAAGACAGGCAGTTTACTGTCTCAGATCCTCATGGAAATAATGACTAAACTTTCTTATTAGGAAAAAAACAGAAAGAGCGTGGTTTTCATGCTCATGCGTGAGGTGTGCGCCTCCCTCAAACCTTGTGATGACATCAACACATTACCCATCTGATGTGAAAAAATGAAAAAGAAAGCATGAAGAAGCCACATTAGCCAAATATAGGAGAAAAAATGAACAATCTAAAAGAACATTGACATCTGATTTAAACACAGAAGCTTCATGAGTTCATAATACACAGTATCAAAAAGTGAACAAAAGAAATCAAACACATATTCACACATCAGACGGTATTGAAACCTAAGGTACAAATAATTATTTTGAAAATTGGCAGCTGGGTGCACTGGCTCATGCCTGTAATCCCAGCACTCTGGAAAGCCATGGCAGGTGGAGTTTGAGACTAGCCTGAGCAAGAGTGAGATCCTATCTCTAAAAAATAATAATAATAATAATTAAGAATATATACTGCCATTCCTGAAGGAGGTATACTTCAGGGTAACCAAATACTTAATAAGAGAAAGTTCTTTACAAAAAGACTTGGGTCAATTAATATAAAGCAACTGACAAAGTAGCAAATCTCTATTTTACAATCTAATTAAATAACTGATACAGAAAAAGCTTATCAATGGATGAAACCACTAAATTAAAAGTTGATGGAAAACTTTATGATGAAAGGGTCAGATTGTGGCTCAGCGCCTATAGCTCAACCGGCTAAGGCGCCAGCCACGTACACCTAAGGCGGCGGGTTCGAATCCCCAGCCCGGACCCGCCAAACAACAATGACGGCTGCAACCAAAAAATAGCCGGGCGTTGTGGCGGGCGCCTGTGG